TATCTGGACTTGGCTCACGAGGTTACCGGCATGTGGGGTGGTCTGCCGACCGAAATTATTCCTGTGGTCGTTTCTGCGAACGGGTTAATCCCAGTCAGCCTCTCGGATCATCTGAGGCGACTGGGACTCCGTGACGGACCGCTCCAGGCTCAAATGCAGAAGGCGGTGCTCCTCGATACCGCCCGCATCGTCCGCCGGTTTCTTTCCCTTTCCCCCTAACCCTCGGCCGTTTGGTCTCCCCTGCCGAGGGCTTCCATCTGGTTGGGTTTTTATATATTTATGTATTTTTTATGTATTTATTTTATTTTATTGATATTTATGTATGTTTACCATTTTCATTTACAATTATATATTTATACTGCCCAACCAGATGAGAAAACTTTATAGATACCCCATAATAATAATAAATAATTTATTTCGTCAAACATTAAAGTTACATTATTTGATCAGTGATCGAGGTCACCTAGTAAGCAAAATAATGCCTGTAACAGGTGACTTCGCTCTTCCATAGCTAAAACTTACAGTATTATTAACGAAATAAAGTAACTAATAGGGAATAATAAAGACAGTAAAAATATGATTTTAGTATCCTACTTTTTAATTTGATTTTAATATATAATATTATAGATTTTAAGACATTTAATAAATCAATTAATACATCAATAAATAAATTAATACACAATTAATCACTACAACGTGAATGTGTATAAGATAAGGGTGATCAAAAAGAAATGGAAAAAAAGAAATTTTATTTCTTGACGGCTCCGTGGCGTAGTAGCTTAGCAATGAGTTGCTGCGCTGGGGGCCAACTTGTGGGCCATCGTTCCAATATGTACCAACGTAGCTTAAACACCCGCTCTACACGATGGCCATCGTTGTTGGCCAACACATTCGCCAGTGTGTTGATCAACGTGAAAAGCCGCCGTTAGGTGTGGAAGTGACATAGGGTATAAAATGTTAAGTTTTCAGGAAACCTTTTTTACGCAGTGGGGATATTTTTTTTAATTACAGTTTTAACCATTGGGCTAATAAAATCCTAATAATTTTTCGGGCGTTTTACATCACACGTGGTAACGTGGGAGACTGAGGTGTTTGAAGTACTGATGAATTGACGATGAATTTTAATTATTAATTTTTGGTCTTTCTGCATAAAACAAACCAAAAGCTAATAATTAATACATACATAGTACATATTTAATATTATATGTATATCAATATGACACAATATTGATATAATAGAGAAGAACTATGGTAGCTCTAAATTCAGAGCATGAGCAGGTTTGCTCCCTGCCTGCACTAATGAAATTGTTAATTGTAGTTTTAACTGTTTTTTTTTTTTTGCCATTTAAGAAAGTTATTTGACGGTAAAGGAAAAAGAAAACCGTGAGAAAATCTGCATGTCTGACATCAGAAAATAAATAAAAAATAATGTAGACATAAGAAGACCGTCAACAAGCATTAAGGTAGCGCATTACACTTCCTTAGAGAAAGCCTGCAGTAATGCTTTGTACCAGTTTTCAATCCTCGCACATGCATCACTATTGCACACATACACATTATTGCAACTGTGCCGCTTCTTGCTCATGTTGAATTTACTTATGTAGTACAACCGTACTTAAGCAGACAATCTTATTATGTGAAATGGCTTCCTGCATTGTGAAAACAAACAGAGGCTAGCTATCTGCACAGAACAATTTTATAGCACATGAGTCTGTCTATTTTCTTATTATACTGCTATTATGAATTTCTCAACGGAGAAACTCAATAACTGATTTTGACTGGACCCAGGATGGAAGCCCCTGATCCATATGGTCAACAGTCACACTTACAACCACCAAGCCAATGATGCAATCATACATATAAACGTAAATTATTTTACCATAAAATTAATGAAAAGTGAGTATATTATTGATTTTCCAGAATACCAAAAAAAAATTTGCACACAAAACTATGCTACTTTTGAGTTTCAATGTAATTAAACCATGATGTAAATATAATTTATTACTAAATAAAATATTTATTTAGAGGATATGAAATCAAAATTAATGTACTCCAAAAATTTAGGTACATAATGAAATGTAATAAAAATAAAATCCATAACATTTATGTACAAAGAAATTTTATCACCTTTACTAACTGTTCAGGAAACAGCTGGTTAATGGCCCTTTCCTTTAACTAACATCTGCCAGCTGCTTTTTATTATAATAGCAGTAGGCATGATTCAAATGAAAAAAATCACCCCTCTTAGAACTCTACAACATTTTGTGCCTTAACTAATTTTAAAAACAATCAAATTTTTTTATTTTAAAAATATAGAATATTAGAATAATTTTTAATTTTAGACTTAACAACATCTTAAAATTGAGTAATTTTTGAATATTTGGCCGTAAGTGTTATAGCAAATAAGCATAAATAATGTGAAAATTAAAATTTATTGTTTACTACATTGAAATCTACTTTATTTCAATTCAAATATGAAGATAATACTAAGTAATATTGTTTAATTAGAATAAAAACCTTAAATAGATAACAATGACTAAAAGCATTGATAAACATATCAATAACAGTGAAACCAATCCTTCCTTCTTTAAGAGTCTATAATGCTAAGCAACAAGGCCAGATTCTGGGACAGGCCACAGGAACTCCAGCCTCTAACAAAATAGACAAGTTGTCTGTCATAGCTACCCCTTACTTATATTTAAAGTAATTTAGTTACCAGATTTTACTAAAATCATTAATGATTTTTTTTTATCAATAAACAGCTCACAAAAATTATTTTGTCTACTGATAATATTAGTGTTTAATAAATTCATAATAAATGTGTAAAACACTTCTTTGAAAAATTATTCTTAGGGCTTCAACACTTTTTAATTTTAGTTTAGTAAAGGAAAGATGCCCCAATTAATGACTTTTGACTATTACATGGTGTTTATTTACACAGTAGTAAATTAAAAAAAATAACTGACCTGTTATTGCTGCAATCACATCACTGGAAGAGACTAATGAACACTTCATTAAACTTTTACTAAACTTTAATATTATTTCTTGGTCACTAGTACTGAGTTTGCTGCACATGGCACTCTTAATATCCACATCTTTAGAATTAACACAAACAAAGAAAAGCAAGAGAGATGCAGCTATGTAAATTTCTTCTTCGTTGTACGCTTCAACTGTACCATTTTCAAATCTAAATCCAGGATACTTTTCCTGTATAAACTCCTCCAGAGAATGTCCACTAAAAATGGATGATTTAGACTCATCGAGATTAAAATTTTCTCGTAACTGGTATATGATGTTTAACAGAGATTTGTGGTTCAATTCAAAATAATTTTTATTATTGTTATCATAGAAATAACAGTTGATCTGAAAATTTTGTTAATAATTAAACATACACGACGTGAATAAATTCAATTGTTATTTGGCATTTTAATTATAATCTTACCCAATTCGCAATAATGCATTTCCATTTTTGTTGCATGGTGTAATTATTTTATGGATTGTTTAGCTATAGCTATATAATATTACATTTACGAACAACTTCAAATCACGGTTCCATTTACATTTAGGTAACTCGCCGTTGCAATTCAAAACTTCAAACTCTTATTTAACGTTGTTTGTTGTTACAATTCCCCAATTAAGGCAGGCAAAGGTCTTAAGTCATACAGCCTTGTCTGATTTGTAATTTATTAACAAAACTTCACAATATGCTGATACGACACATTGCGAAGTTCTTAGGAGATTTTGGCGACAGAAAGAATAAAGGATAATATAACTATATAATATAAAATAGTATTTCGATTCATAAATAATGCCTTGATTACATAGAAAAATATTATTATAGACACCAAGCTCTTGGACCATAAATTTAACAAACCAAGCATTCATTTTTTAATAGTTACAAAACACTTAAGTTTATATCTAATCCAATCAACTCTGGAAGTTATTATAACGTGATTCTTATTAAACTTGATAAAATCAGAATCATAAAAAAGGGTTTTAAGTTAAACATCAGAAATTATGAAAAGTCGAAACCACACTCTTCTATGCGCATTAATCCTCACTTCTATAGGTAAGTTCAATTATTTTAATCCGTTAGATTAAGATCTTAATCTTTTCTAAACATTTTAGTAATATATTTTTTTTTTTTTTACTATAGAAAATATATCATAGAACCTGCTCAAAAGTCATGTTACCCACGGTTCCTCGTACACAGAAATCTTTAAGGAGTATTTTTTTTATATTTGGTTATCCTACTACATCCGAAGTAATAAAATAATCATTTCCATTATTATTAATTCAATTAATGAAGTATGATGGAAACAAGAGTGAATAGCGACTTCTCTTCCATTAATAACCACAATGAAACTTTCAAATATTATCACAAGTTATAAATTACAGCGTAGCAAAAGCAAAACAATTATGTAAGGATGGTAGCAAGTGGAAAGAAGTGGTCTTTGCCTACCCCTACGGGAAAGAGGAGTGATTATATGTATAGGTGGTCTCGTCCGAGGTGATACGACTACTTTTATGCCTAGGAGTCCGTCTGGATAGTTACAACCTTGCTACATATTTATTTATCTTCGGTTACAACCTTCCAACCTACTCATAGAGTAGAGTGATATATACCTACTCCAGTCTCCAGCTGTCAAATAGCAGAGCTTGCCCTGCTTTGTTCCAGCATGTTATGTGTTTTGTTTCTAAAAAAATATATATATTTTATTCTACATTATTATAATATTAAAAACGACACAATGTAAATTTTTCCGCGACACGTCAGACTAGAATGTATGGACAATGATCCCTTTGTCTGTATTAATTAAAATGTTAATAGTAAATTTAGTAAATACTAAATACTAAATAGTATGTAACAGTATAAACAGATTTAATAATTAAATTAATTATAATTTGTATAGTAACGTGTGTAGGTTTACCTAAAACGTAGTAATTTTATGGTATTATGCTCTGTGCATAACCTATGATTTTCAAAGCTTTTTGTTACAATGTCACTTACGCGTGCGGCTGGATTAGTAATCTTCAGGTACACAAATGAAACAATACAGTTCCTTCTTTTACAAACGTCATATGGTGAACATCATTGGACTCCTCCGAAGGGTAAATTATAAATTGAAAATAATTAAAAAGTTAATGTTATTTAGAATATAATTTCATATTATTTCTTACAAATATAGGTCATGTAGATCCAGGAGAGTCAGACTGGGTAACTGCATTAAGAGAAACTAAGGAGGAGGCTGGGTTGTCAGAGAATGACTTAGAAGTAAGTCCCAGTGTATCACTAAAGTTTTTGTTCTTACTTTGTCTGTTAAATTTTAGTTGTCTGTAATTCTAATGATTTTTAGAAAATCAAATCCATAGAACGATATGAAGGATAATGAAGCCAATCTGCATATTTGTCCAAGGCTGGACATGGTCCTTTCCCACTTCAGGAAAGATTTGCCTCAGTCATCATGATTGATGGTTTCCAGTGCAAGATGCCTTACACCTTTAATACTGAACCCCATTCCAGGGCTATATCATTTTTATCTGTCATATATTAGATTGTATACTAGCATCTATCAGAGGCCCTAAGGTCTTTGTTTTTTTCCAATAATAGCCTCTTAAGATACCCAAAGGATACACTCTCATACCATGTAACCCAGGTAATATTTACATTATTAAGATGGCTCCATGGCGCAGTGGCTTAGCAATGAGTTGTTGCACTGGGGGGCGTGGTTTCGTATTCCGCACGGAACAAGTATTTGTATGGTCTACAAAAAATTGTTCTGGGTCTGGATGTTTGTCCTCGTGCAATTTTTGTTTGTAAACTGCCTCCACGATACAGGAGAAAATCCTAGTGTGGTGGTAACATTTTTTTTAAAAAGACATACATGCAAAAAAAGGCAGAATTTTTACCTATATTAAAAGTTTATTTTCATTATTCTAATTACTGCTGTTTTTAAGAATCATAAGGAGGGAAAGAATATTAATTTAAATATGTAATTCATATCAACATAATGTATAGATGCTTCCTTATATTATATTTAAAGATTGATTCTGATATTTTGAAACTGTTTTAATATTATATTAATAGGGAAATTAATTTGCAGATATATCAAGGTATATCAAAAACACTTAACTATCAAGTTAAAGGAAAACCTAAGAGTGTTTTGTATTGGTTAGCTAAGTTGAAAAACCCAGATAAAAGTATTACATTATCAGAGGAGCACCAAGACCTCAAGTGGCTGCCTTTGGATGAGGCACAAGAACTGTCAGGATATGAAGATATGAAGCAGTTACTTTCAGAATTTTATGTAAAAGCGCTGAAACTAGTGTAGATTTATTTATTTAAACATCTACAGTACATAAATCAATTGATAAAAAATTGTATAAATATGTAAGTGTCAATTTTTTGTAAATAAAACCATACAGAATATAATATTTTCATTTTGTGTAACACACACCCAGTAAGGTTGCATACTTTTTGGTATTGAAATGTTGTCAATGCTTTATGAAATCTAATGTGTAGGTGGTACCAGCAACATCCCTCTGAATGGATTCCCACGTTGACATTGTGGAATGGCTTAGTAGCCGTGGCTTGGCCACTCATGGTAATCAAAGAGAAACTCACTAGACTGTTCCAAGGTGAAGGGCAGGCCCCAAGGTGACTGCTCCGAGAGGGCTTGAATAGCTCACATCGAATGCGCATTGGTGGACTGGTGGGAGGGTATCCTCTCCTTTTCTCCCATCACGCAGCAGCCTATGTGGAGTCTCGGGGGAAAAGAAGTGTTTCACCGCGTCGGCGTCGTACTTCCCTACGCGGCGAAAACTTGGTTACCGGGGCGGAGCCATAGATCACATCCGCCGCTGGGGTCAAAATGACTACTGATGCTTCAGAGTGTGCGTTTTTCCTGGCCCCATGATTTCCGCGTACTAGACTGGGGGACCAATAGCATAAATGGAATTCTGTTGCGCCTTACCGAACGGTGCGTACACATTATATAACATAACATGTTATAAAACGTTGTTATATAAAATGTTTCAGTAATGTGGAGGCTGAATGTTATAAAACGTGCTATATAACGTGACACAAATGTTATATAATTCGAACGGCAGAATGACAAACGACAATGTCATATAACATTTGTAGCGGACGGCAAAGGAGGCCGCCGCCTCGTCGCCCCTTCATACCCCGTTGCGCCCCGCACACCCCGCACACCGGCAGCAGATCACGCGATGTCGCCGACCAATCAGCGCGCGGCATCGCCTTACGACGTTACTCGCATACCGAGACGCTCTCATGCGGGATATAAGAAGGGCGTTTTGATCTGTGAGGCGTTCATTTCATTTCGGGAGCGGCACTAGAAGAAACCACAAGAGAAGAAACCTCAAGAGAAATCGAAAAGACTCCCCTCTGTATATAGTTTATTAGTGCCACATTTGTAAATAGTTGAATACAGTATAGTTCAGTATAGTTTCAACATCAATGGCGAGTACATTCAACATCAATGGCGAGTACATCACTCACCTTCGATTTGCCGACGATATAGTCCTTATGGCAGAATCGCTGGAGGACCTAAGCACTATGCTCAATGACCTCAATAGTGTTTCCCAACGGATAGGTCTTAAGATGAACATGGACAAAACAAAGATCATGTTTAATGTCCATGTCACACCTATGCCGGTAGTTGTTGGGAACACTAAGCTCGAAGTTGTTGACGAGTATGTTTACCTGGGACAAATAGTCCGACTAGGTAAGTCCAACTTCGACCGAGAGGTCAATCGACGGATTCAACTCGGTTGGGCAGCGTTCGGGAAATTACGGCACATCTTCTCGTCAGGTATACCTCAAAACTTGAAAACGAGACTGTACACCCAGTGCGTGTTGCCAGTGATGACATACGGAACTGAGACGTGGTCCTTCACTGCTGGCCGGATGAGGAAGCTCAAGGTCGCTCAGCGAGCTATGGAGAGGGCTATGCTCGGAGTTTCTCTGCGTGATAAACTCAGAAATGAGGATATCCGCAGTAGAACTAGAGTGACCGACATAGCCCAACGGATTAGTAAGCTGAAGTGGCAATGGGCCGGCCATATAGCTCGAAGAACCGACAACCGATGGGGAAGAAAGGTTCTCGAGTGGCAGCCTCGTACCGGCAGGCGAAGTGTAGGGCGTCCCCCCACTAGATGGAGTGACTACCTGGTAAGATATGCAGGAAGTCGATGGATGCAGGTGGCTCAGGACCGTGCTTTGTGGCATTCTTTGGGGGAGGCCTATGTTCAGCAGTGGACTTGTGAAGGGCTGTAATGATGAGAATAGTTCTACAGTACCATCTTTTCTTTGAGCAGTACCCTAGCGTAGTCAGTCATACAGTCCATTTGCAACAATAGTAAATTAATACAGTCCACTGCAGTCCATTATATTCTTGGTCCTTCGAGCCGGATAGAAGCCAGAAGAAAGAATGTAATTACAGAAGAAAGAAGATAATTACAGAAGAAAGAAGATCATTATAGAAGATCTTCAAGGAAGAAAGAAGTACGTCGACGAAGAGAGAAGATCGTCGGTACTAATTCCTTCCCCGTTTCTTATTACGTCTACGTCATATACGTCTATTGTCTGTTTCCAAACAATTTTCTTGTTTCTTAACCGCGTTTACGCGGCCAGGTGGTTGCTCCCTAACGGTGCCAAACTGTGACCATCTGGTAACGCCCTTGCGGCGGGAACGGCGTCCAATACGTGCGTCTTTTTGAAGATGATCGGAGGTCGCAACGTGGGACATCATCATGCGGAAGACAAGAAGCCAGAAGACACGGAGCGACGACGAAACGGTGGTAGGAATGCGGATATTCGAGGAAGCACCCGCGTCCCCGTCAGATTATCTCGCGTTGGCACAAGCGCCCTCCGCCGCGCCGCAGCCGCTGCTCGCGCCCGCATCTATGCCCGCGCCCGCGCTCTCGCCGCCGCGCCCCGCTGGACACGGACCACAACTGATCGCTTGGGAGAGGTTAGCACATCCGCGCCGCGTACAGAGACGCTCGGCGCGATTATAGAAGATCTTCCGATTACAGAGACTAGTTCGATAGTGCGTACCGTCGCGCCTGTAGCAGACGTTGTACATAGGCCCGCGCCCCGCGCCCCGTCGGTCCGTTCAGTCCGTCCAGCCCGGTTGACAGCTAGCGCAATAGCAAAGTTAAAACAAATCGAGTATAACACCGCGGAGGAACTAGCAGCAATTAGAAGGAAGCAATTGCAAGTCGAGGAAGATCTCATCAAAAAGAAATACGCTAGGGACATCGCTCAACTGCAAGAAGAAACAGATAGGGAAAGTTTAAACGAGGACGAATTAGTGGAAAATAGGGTACGCGTTGATAGGTGGTTAGAGAACGTGGAGACTGTGCGGGGGGAGCCACCCTACCGCCCGTCTCAGCCCGCGCCCGTCGCCGCATCGAGATAGAGCAGCCCCGCCGAGTAGGGGAACCGGTTACGACCACGCTGAAGATGCCCAGGGGAGGTTGGTTGCGAATAATGTTCAACCGCGCCGCGTAGATACGATACAGAGGGACAATGGAGTCGCCGTAGAAATGAACCAGGTGGATCGCCGTGTACGGGTTACGTCGCCGTCGCGCGTCCAACGCCGCGCTCTATCGCCTATACATAGATCGCCACATCGCCACGCGGATCGTAGATTACCGTCGCCGTGTAATGATGTAGGTATAAATAAATCGCCACATCGCCACGCGGATCGTAGATTACCGTTGCCGTGTAAGGATGTAGGTGCACGTAGATCGCCATCGCCACATCGCCACGCGGATCGTAGATTACCGTCGCCGTGTAATGATGTAGGTATAGATAAATTGCCACATCGCCACGCGGATCGTAGATTACCGTCGCCGTGTAAGGATGTAGGTGCACGTAGATCGCCATCGCCACATCGCCACGCGGATCGTAGATTACCGTCGCCGTGTAATGTAGGTATAGATAGATCGCCGCATCGCCACGCGGATCGTAGATTACCGTCGCCGTGTTATAGGGATGCAGGTGTACAAAGGTCGCCAGCGCCACAGCGTAGGCTAGAAGGAAATAGGGATAGAGATAGGTCGCTCACCCCGCGAGGGAAAGATAGGGGTATAGAACGACTAGCGGAAGCCTTAGAAGGTATGATAAGACTTAGACCAGCCGCCGCGAAGCAGACACAGGAGTTGCCTATTTTCAACGGCTCGGCCGCGGAATGGTTATCGTTTAAAGCCGCGATGCGGGAGTCCACGCGTCTGTATGGATTCACCAACACGGAAAATATGGCAAGGTTAAGGAACTGTTTACGTGGTGAGGCTAGGGAGGTAGTATCGGCGCTGCTGTTTACCGCGAAGGATCCAGCAGACATTATGTGGACACTGGAGCAGTGTTTCGGCCGCCTGGAAGTAATTATTGATCGTGCGTTAGATGACTTGAAACGCCTTCCGCGCCCGGGTCAAACTGCCCAGGAGTTAAATTCGTTCGCTATTAAGTTGCAAAATATAGTGTGTATTATGCAAAACGTCGACGGCAAAGCATATTTACAAAATCCAATGCTAACTAGGGAGGTTACGAGTAAGCTTAGCCCTCACTTACGGTCGCGTTGGTGCGATTATGCGGAGCACTACGGAAGTGCGGACGAACCGGACATTGTCACACTATCCCGGTTTATGATGAGAGAGGCTGACCGTGCGTTAAGTCACGCCTATACGTCCGTAACGCCGACTAAGGAATCGCCCGTAAGACGAGAAGCGCCGCCGTCGAAAAGGATAGTGTTGACACGCCGCGTAGAGGATAGGGCCCGCGACGTAAAGACGTTCACCGCCCAGGAGGACACTGGTAGTGCCTCGTGTATGTGTTGTGGGGGTGAACACCCTATCGCCAAATGTAGGAAGCTGGCGCAGATGGGTTTGGACGACCGGTGGAAGTGGGTGAGGGAAAATGGGGTGTGATTTAAGTGCTTAAGCAGCAAACACCAACGCATACGTTGTAAAGCTAGGAAGTGCGGCGTCGACAGCTGCAACGCCCGAAAGGTATTCGCAAAGTACCTCGGAGCGTTGATGAATGTGTCTCCAACCTGTGTTCTGCATTCTTGATTGGGTATCATTATATATGTGCCTTGCACTTGGTATTTTTGTACATGTTCTGGACAGTGTTCAGTTATTATCAAGTCCTTAGTGGTATACAGTAGCCAATAGTTCTTGAAGATCCTCTGAATTTTCAAATTCTCCAATCGTATATTATGTTACTGGCACCTACTGTGGTTGGTTTTTATCTGCATTATTTACTCAATACATCTTTCAGCTGGATACTCTGCGAGACTTTCCT